CCATTCAAGTTGATAACATTTGATATAACTGGCACACTATTAAAATATCGAAGCTCTCCAGCTATAGAATACTCAAATATATTAAATAAATATGGCTTAGAAGTAAGATTATCAACTCTTGAGAATTTGATTAATAAAAATTGGACATTCATGACAAAAGCACATCCAAATTTTGGCCTTTATACTGGCCTTGAATGGGAAAACTATTGGAGAATTTATGCACATAATGTYTTTAGCAAAGCATTTCAGATAGAAAATATCACTGACAATGTACCCCTAGCAGATATAATTGATGATTTGATGATGACATACAGCACTGGAGAAACATTTAAAGTACAAAATGGAGCTATTGAGTTATTGGAATATTTAAAAAAAGAAGAAATAACATTGGGAGTTATGTCTAATTATGACCCAAGAATTAAATCTATGATTAAAAATCTTGGGCTCTCTCATTATTTTAAATTTATTTTGTCATCATACGAAGTAAGATCTGAGAAGCCTGATATTAAAATATTTAGAAAAGCGGAATCATATATTGAACAGGGGTTAAATCGTGAGTTATTTTTGCATATTGGTGACTCTTATTTGTTGGATTTTAAAGGCGCTAAAAATGCTGGATGGTCTGCATGTTTAGTTCATACAAACAAAAATATAATTGAACAGTATCCATGTGTGAGCGGTTGTATATTTGAAGATTTTATAGCTTTAAAAAGGTTTTTAAAGACATGTAATACAAAAAAAATGTATTCTGAACAATAGAAATAATATTTTGAGCAACTGTACCCTTTTACCCATGTTAGAACTTTTGTTTCCTATTGGTAAAGTATTTCTTGGTAAAATTTACTAATAAAACACTTCAGCTTACCTATCCATGACTATTTTTTTGCTATTGTAAAACAATGTTCTTCTTAAATAACTTTGAACTGTATAGAATAAATACATTATACAATTTGTATCTAACCTATAAAATGTTCAAACATTTAAGAGTAAAAGTTTTTTTTTGTTAAATCTTTTTAGTTTTTATAGTCGATTACCTTGTGATAATATTTTAATTTCTCTTTATGATTATTCCCTAATTTTTTTTTTTAACAATATTGCTTTTATCCTTTTGTGATCTAACAAACTATAATTAGTAAATTGTATTACCAATTCATGTATAATATGTTTAATACAATTATGTTATATAGTTAAGAGGACGCATGCGCATGTGTTGTCTCCGTCTTATACACATACTAYATTGTAAATTTTTTGTTCACTAGTTTCGATAGTGTGCTGTTAGTTTTGATATTAGAATGAATTGACTTATTATCAAACTTTTAGGTAAGAATATTATCAGTGTTCTCTCGTTAGTTTTTTAAGATATTTTAATTTTTAAATGATTTGCGAGTAATATGAAGTATTAATATTCAATAATGCACATAATTCATTTAAAAATTTTAATATTGTAAGAAACTAATGAAAGAACACAAATAATCCTACCTAAAAGTTTGATATTGGGTTAATTCACTCTTATATCAAACCTAACAGCACACTATTGAAATTAATGAATGCAAATTTGGTATTGTAGTTCGTGTTGTATTTATTATTGTTATAATATATAATATACTAATATAAAATGTAATATGTAATATATAATAATTTACTATTATAAGATGGAGACAACACATACGTGTGCCATGTCTTCTTAAATAATTTWAAAAATAATATGTTTTAATTTTTGTTAGTTCAATTTGTATTTAATAAATATTGAATTGTATAAGTAAGTGGTATAATTTAATATATTTGTAATTGAACAAAAAATAAAAACCATTTTTTTAAACTCCAGTATAGAATTTTCATTTTCTAAAATTTCTTTATTGTAATAGTTTTATTTTTACAAATTGTTTACACATATTATGCATTTTATATTTATATATT